TTAGACCAACTAATGTGTTTAATAAATAATTGATTGAACATTCCATTTTGTCACTACCAAAAAGACCATAACTCTTCTGAACCTTTGCTAAATGTTTTTAAATGTTTTAAATGTTCAAAATTCGGACTGCTTTTTTTTTTTTTAATAAAAATTAACCTTCTGATAAATCAAAGTCTTTGACCTTTAAAAGAAATCAATAAGATCTTACCAAAGAAATTATTTTATTATTATTTTATTTTGTTGAAGTTGAAATTTAGGAGTGAAGGTTCGGGACAGCCACATTGGAAAAGAAAGTGCCCTATAAATGATAAAAAATGTTGTATATATTATCTCAGTTAAGGCTCAAATAAACCACAGCAGAATCCTTGTAAATATCAAAGGTCTGAATACTTAACTATTTTTTATGTTATTTATTTATTTATTTTTCTGTGGGACCACAGTCAGTAGGGTGACCCATACACAGCCGTACACAGCATGTTGTCTTTATGTGCACAAGGTGTTCAGAAGTGTCCTGTGTGTTTGTACAGCTGAGTCTAACCTCAGAAAGAAGCCAGAAAGCCGGCCTTTGATGTCTGTTCAGCTGTGTCCAGAACCAGGTTCACTGTAAATACCTCAATGTCCACTTTCTTTATGTATAGTCACTTTTTTACTCAGCCAGCCAGATCAAATATAGACAGACATGAGAAGCTCTATATGGTGTGGACAGAACACAAGACTGGAGAACGAGAAGGTTCTGCACTTGTATTTCTGTGATAATCTAAATAAGCAAAGAGGAGCAGTTGCTGCTGGTATGCAACACCACCTACTGGTGATCGGTGGGTGTTACCTTTTCTCTGAGTAAATAGTGATGTCAGTGTCTCAGCACTAGAGGGCAATCAAGAGCTGCACAGGGTTCAAAGGCAGATTCTATCTACTGAAATTCTAAGTGGAATGGGCGTGGCTTACATCCAGCATTAAGTGGAACTGAGGATAGCCAGCGGGTAGTCCTGCAGGGAGTAACTTAGCTGGCATAGAAATGATTGGCGTGAACTGATAGACGAGTTCCTGCTAAGCTTAGTGTGAATCTTTAAATAGTTTTGTTAAGCAGAGATGAGAGATTTTAGCTTTAGACACTGGTTTAACCAGAAAGGCTGTTCAATTCAGTGACTCAGACAAAGTGACTCATAGCGATTGTGCATGCACTATTTTACAGGGTTCCAGCTTCAGAACATACCAAAGACAGAAAACAGTCATACGCAGAAGTGTGGCCACCCTGGGTTTTGTTGAGGTCTCAGTGAAAATGATGTGTTAACAAACATGTAATCTGACTTTTACACTGCTCAACAAATCATTCCTGGAAAGCTGTGCTTGTGATTAGATACCTCATCAGAGCACATGAAGCATCCCTCACATTGTACCTTAGACAGTTTTCCACTGGATAATTACAGATGGTACCTGCTCAGGTGTGGAGGATACTTACGTAACTGTACTTAAGCATAATTTCAGAAGATTTGTTCTTTATTCTAGTAATATTGAAATTAAATTCTTGTACTCCCCATATGGAAAAAATAAAATTCCAAATGTGTTCAAACATGTATTTGTTTAAAAGATATTTAAAACACATTTGTCAGTATGTGTTATTACCTCTGTTCAGTTGTGTGTAATGAAGGTTCCAGATGTAACTAAACGTTCTTCTGTGATCTGCACTGTACTTTACATTAACCATGTACGTCTGCAGTCAGACTCTCACACACAATGTATTTCACATAAACAAGATATCAGATCATAACTGCATTTTCACAGAGTATCAATACCCACAACACTCGCCTCTGTCCTGTTAAAGGATCATTAGATCAGATTTAAAATGAAGATACTGGAACACAAATTCATTTCTAAAGGTATCAGACAGTGAAGAGCATCAGACAGGATTCTGGATATTTTCATACATTTTCAAATGGATTTGATAAACACATTTACACACATTTATATTTGTCTGTGTGTAATATTTCCCCATACATTTTAAAGTAAATGCATTTAAAAATATATTTGGTTAATATGGTGATATATTCTGAAATACATTTTAGTGTTTGGAGTGTTCTTCAGCATTGACTGCAGTGAGTTTGATGTCTGTTTGACTTATGTTTCAAATATATAAAAATACATGTTCATATTTTTTTTTTACTCCTTACATTTTCATTTAGACCTTCAAAGTATGAAGTAAATCTCCATGAGAGAAAGACTGTGAGATCAGAACTTCTCAGTTTTTTCCAAATTAAAACAATCAAATTCTTATCCATGTAAAATGAAACTGCCCACACAGTTTGTGTGATTAGTCTCTGCATCACTCACCACCAAACAGGGCAATTATTCATTTATTTGTTAAATCGTTTATTTACCAGAGTACAGTCGTATGCAAAGTTTTGGCACCCCTGGCCAAATTCCACGTTTTGTTGATTTTCTAAGTGAAAATAAGATGAAACGTCCTCTACAGAGACACGTCTGCACAGATTCGTGTGCAATTATTGGCATAAAATGTTTTTTTTTTTTTCAATATGTTAAATTCAGCAAATAAATAGAAATTGTGTTCTAAAATAAGCAGAACATATTTTAATATTTACATTTTCATATTTAAGTTTGCTAACTTATTTTCGTTTGATGTGGGGTGTTCAAACATTTGCATACAACTGTAAAATTAAATGATAACTTTTGATGTTTACATATTATATACATATTTTTGGGCTCCATTCTTCCACTTTTAACCAAGTAAGATTTTGACACATTACCTATATGTTCACTTGAGTTCCTGTCCACTTTTCCCTAAATATACTAATCAGAAACCAACATGAATATTCATAAACTCCATTATGGGTTTAGTAGTATGAGTCCAGCAGTGTCTGTCAGAGGCTCTATTGGACGGAATGCATGTGTTCAGAAAAATGATTTGAGAAATTCCACAAAGCTAAATTTCGATTCTTACTTGAATTTCTTATTCCACCTTAAATGTGCAGATTTCTGAATGTACCTGTTGCACCATTTAATGGAAAATTCCATGGAATGGAAAGAAGCTGCCAAATAAAAAGCCAATTTCAGCTTTGTAGAAATTCAGACATGACAAAACATTCAGCACCATAGCACCATAAAGCAACACTGACATTAGCTTATCTATATTGGTCAGTCTTTTTGTTACTATATGGCACAGTAAAAATATTTCAAGTTTACTTTGGTTTTTATGGCTCTTATTAAACAGTGAAAGGTCAACACAGAACAACACACCACTGTTAATCTATAAAAATCGCTCTGCTATATACAAACATACACATAGTGAGACTGGCTATACTGCCCACCATTATTCCCAACATTATTGTTTAGCTACTGCTGTAGGGGCCTCTGGATAAAAGCTTCTGTTAATAATGTAAATATGTACAGAAATAATGTCAATGTTTGCAATAATTGCAGTGTCTTATTTAGCAGGTAATGTAATAACAATCCAGTTTTAACCTGTCTTACACTCACAGCCGTGCATACATGATTACAGTGGTTGATACTGGTAACAGCTGGGGAGTGGATGGTATTGGTATCAGCAGATAACTGCTTATAAAAAAGTGTTCAGCATCAGACACATTTAGATTTAATGGATGTTTCAAACCGATATTTGATGATGTATTTATGTACCATGTGTGAACAGATAACTTCATATAAATAAATGGTATATTTCTCCATAACACTAATCCAATTGCTACATTTTCTATAGATGTTTATGTATCGGCATCAGCAGATGTGCACATAAAAATATCGTATTTCTGCATCGGCCCACAAGCCCCATATCGGTTCATGCCAACTACAGCTGTGTTTAATGATTACCAATATCAGCCCAGGAGCTCCAGTCTTACTAACAGGACACAAGGGACAGACTGAGCCCACATATCTCCTTGTGATCGATTCATTCCACCCTTGCCCCTCATAGGCCCTCTAGCTAAGCCTGGGTCACCCAGTCCCCTGTGCGCTTCCTCTGGCCTCTGATCCTCAGGCTTCCTCTTCCTGTCTGTCCACATTCTCAGGACCCCAGAACTACTGCTGCTCCTCTGATGTCACACTGACTGCCCTGAAGCCCCCTGTACAGCAGCTGTGAGATCCCCCCCATAAGCTCATATTTCCACTCTAGCTTGTGCCGTACGGTCCAATAATTCTGTAATTCAGTTCAGTTATGATGTGCAGACTCCATGCAGGTGCCAGTGCCACTCAAACATGAGAAACTGCTATTAGGTTACTGTGTAAACAGTGACCACCAGAGCACTGAGTGGAATGTGCTGCCCACCATTGTTATCTAACCTCTGCTATAAGCGCAGCGCTGTAGCGCAATTATCTCCAATAAATGCTACACTTTCTCTGTCTTCACAACACAACTGTGTACATAAAGCGGACATTAACTGCCGGTTCACCAGCCGTCTCGGTGCCTCGCTTGTGGCTCCAGGGCTCTGGCTGAAAAACAACAGGTTTGGAGTTTGCTCACTAATCTAATGGGGGTTACGTGCCAGAAAGGGCCCATAATAGCATATTTAAGAGAATTAAGGCAGCTCCTGAGACCTGAACACGATTAAGCGAGAACCCCCTCTTTCAGAAGGAGACAATGACCCATTGCTATAGTCCTAATAAGCACTTGGCCAAGGAAACACTGGACTTTGGCATTTTTCTCTCAACTGCACAGGGCCTAGTTTCTCATATCCTAAGTACAATCTCCTATGAGTCTGTTAGACTCAGTGGAGTGATTTCACCATCACTCCACTGAGGCCCCCTTCTGAACCCTTAAACTGGTATGTTTTCGCCTGGCTGTGGCTTGAGCACAGATGGGGGTGCCTAAGGCTGTGACCAGCTTGAATACTGATGACTGGTGATCTGTGGGCCCCTTTTACAGCTGCTGTGTTAAATCACAGTTCATCTGCTCTACAATCAGGGATTTTAAATCGCAGCCAACGAATGTATTACAACTTCGGCTACAGTAAAGAAAGGAGAGAGAAGACGACTCAGTCATAAGCGTTTTAATTGCCTATCATTTCAAGTCTACAGTAAAAGATAGACAACATATAAAAGTGCTGTTTACTAAGGAGCTGATGGTTCTTCAAACCTGGCACTTTCAAGCACATTTATCGTAATATAAAAAACAAACAATGCTGCAGTTCAGTGCATTTGGATGTGTGTACGCACACCAAGACATTTAAGCGGTTAACGTAGTTCAGTGGCAAATTTTACACATGTACATTTCTATAAGTTAAGTTAAGAAAAGCTAAGGAGTTGAATTTTTTTAACATAAAGACAAATTATTTTGATTGTAGAAACTTGCCTGGAGATTCATACTGGAGCTGTTGTTATTCAAGGTGTGGTCTCAAAACTGAGTCTCTGTAATCTGTTCTTTCCCATTGCTGGATAGTGCATTAGTTTCGACTGTTTCTGTATTGGTATTCTCCTTGCTAGAAACAGGTGCTTCACTGCGCAGCGCATTTTCCTGCTTAGTTTGACACTTTCCAGTGGTCAGTGACTTCTGAAAGGACTCAGAAGTGAAGTAGTACACCACTGGGTCGAAGCAGCAGTTCAAAGTCGCCACACAGAGCGTTATAGGGTAGAGAGTTCGTGCTAGTCTTTCAAGCCAACAGCTAGCCAGGGCCTGAGTGCGCACCATGGCATAGACAAAAAGAACAGAGTTATATGGCACGAAGCAGACAATGAAAATGGCCAGGTGCACCACTATCATGCGTAGCACGCGTTCTTTGTTGGTGCCGATTTGACAGAGCGTGGCAGGCTTGCGTAGTGTTCGTAGCACCATGGAAGAGCAGGCCAGGTTAATGAGCAAAGGGATAAGGAAGCCCACCACCTCGATGAAGATGGTGATCTTGGACAGGTATGTCTTCCATGTTTTCTGGGAAAAGCCCTCGAAGCAAGTAGTGCTTGCTTTGGCGCGGTTGGTGGCAGAGAAAAAAGTCACTGACATGCCTCCACCCAAGATAAGCAACCAGATCAGAGCGCATACAATGCCAGCATTGCGGCGGGTGCGTATGGTGCGCGAGCGGAAGGGATAAACAATGGCCAGGAAGCGGTCCACGCTGATGCAGGTGAGGAACAGCATGCTGCCATAGATGTTTGTGATGAAAGCTCCTCCAGAGATCTTGCAAAGACCATCGCCAAACGGCCAGTGGCGTCTGACATTGTAGTAGATCTTGAATGGCAGAGTGAAAACAAATATTAAGTCAGATAATGCCAGGTTCGTCATGAAGAGAGTGGTCTCGTTGCGCACTTTCATGCGACAGCAGAAGACGAAGAGCGAGGCGCAGTTCGTGACGAGGCCCAGCACAAAGGCAATACTGTACACGACGCCGTACAGGTTGTACTTGAAGGAGTCATCAATGCCGCAGTCCTCTAGCCCAGTGTCATTGAGCACCAGACTCGCCATGGCGACACCACCAGAGAGCGGGGAATTCCTGCTTCTTTCAAATTCCCAGCTGTCAAAAAGAGCGCTGGTTGCTGTGTATCTCCTGGCCCATCATCGACCTTCACTCCAAAAGCTTCTGGCCTCTTCTGTAAAAGCAGGCGCAGCTCTCATCTTTAGCACGTAGACCCTGCCAATTTCTGTTTCCTGTAAAAGGGAGAGAGAACAAAGGGACAGATTTAGCAAGTTAGCTGAATATGGAGCACCTTTGGCAGGATTCTGATTTGTCTGCCTTGCTCCCAACTAGGACTCGTGCTACCCTTCACCTGGAATCTCTGCTCCACTGGTTTGTCCTTTGGGCTCCTGCACTTTATATAGATTAACTACGGGCCTGTTAAACAGATAAGCAGAGTCGATACAAAGAGACGCATTCAAACTCTACTGTGTTCATCGATCTATCTGGTGTGCTTGGCAAGTACAGGCAGTTCCCATGAAGTTTAGTTTCATATTGCTTTCTGCCACCAGCCACTACAGGAAAATGTACATGATGATTCTGTATTGTTTGTGGACCTTTATTCACTAGAATCCTTCTACCTTTTAAAATGTAGTGAATGGAAACCATACCTCAGAATTCCCATAAAGTCTCTTTCCCATAGGAAAAGGTTATAATGTACACTTGGTATATAATTAAGTCATTAGCAATTAATGGTGGGACTTCCTCACCCTGAAGCTATGGAAAGTAGGCTGAATCACCGTGTAGGTGAGGGGTACAGATCTAACAACCTCATCTAACTGATGAAAATGTATTTTCGCGAGTTCTTTTGTGAAGATTTAACATGTTTTGTAATATAAAGGTTATATTTAATAACACTGCTAATTGCTTTGCTAATGACCTGTGAATGCTGAGATAAGCAGATTTGGTCTTAACCAGCCTAAATCTTTGTCTCCCTCATAATGCCCTCCTGCCAGGGCACAAATGCACATAATACAGTCCTCAAGGCTGTGTGGCATCTTGATAGATGAGTCAAGTGAGGAGGGCCAAGAGGACGTCTCATCCTCAGCTGACCCATTCACTGACCATCTGATGCACTCCTCTGCTATTTCTGTGCAGATTCAATTGGTTCCTCTGTATAAATCGATATTGCTGTTATGTACATATTAATGGCCGAATGCAATGATATGTTTCTTGAAATCCAGCTGCTTTGTCTAAGTGCTTTGTCCAACATTGTGGAGAAATAATCTTCAATCTATAAACTTTACAATTATATTGGTACAGCATTGTTTTTTGATTGATAAATGATGTTTGAAATGAGCAGAAAGGCATGTGGCTCTTTGCAGCACCATTTAAACCCAAGCTAAACATAAAGTTGATTTTCTTTATAAATCTAATGAATTTGCTTCATTTAATAAACCCAGAATTTCTGTATCAGCACTGGCACTAACAAATTCAGTTGTAGATAGACCGTGTCCATAAGACTGGGGGCACCTGCTCATGCACTATTTATCATGAAATCAGGTGTATTGATAAGGAGTTGATGCAGTAACAGCCTATACCCTTCTGGGAATGTTTTACACGACATGTTGGATTACTACTCTTAGATTCAGTCATTCTACTCAGTCACAAGCGCATTAGTGATGATGTTGAGCAGGTACTGATTCTGGATAATTCTGGGTCACAAAAGCCATTCCAACTCATCCCATAGTTATTGGATTCACACTCCAGAGAATACAGTTCCATTGTTCCACAGCCCAATGCCAAAGGGTTGAATCCTACTTAGGGCTGAACAGATTGGGGAAAATATCCAGTTGCAACAAACAATATTGTAACTGTGATTTAAAGTGTTATTATTCTTTATAAATTAAGGTCCAGACCTGTTTTTTGGCCAAGAGGACCAGAATATCCACTTCAGTCTGAACACAGGGTGCCTGACGGCCAGTTTGATGGGGCTGTGTTGTCATGTATACATCATGTGCATGTTTAGCTGCTTCTGATTGGTCAAACTAATCTACAGGCAGTTCAAAATCTCCCTGTGTATTGTAAACATCTTTCCCACAAAAGTTGTAGGCTGTAATTAAAACACTGCCGCTCTTTCAATTAGAAAATTGTGTTCTTTCAAATTGTGATTTCAATATAAAATAATTCATTTTTCAATCCTACCTCTCGCTAATGCTTAACATTCAGCATGGTGACCTTAGGCTCATGTATGGCTGCTCTTTATTGGCATTGCTTACTTATAGAAATTATACAAACTGTATGTGCACAATTGAACACGTGCACCTTAAAATAGCTGAACTGACCAATTAGAAGGGAAGGGCTGCCTCTATACTTTTGGACACCGAGCCTATATTGATTATCAGGATTGACCAGGATTTTTTCATATCCGTGCGTATGGAAATCCCTCGTCTCAGGCTTTATTTGGCTCTGCGCAGCTACTTCCATGGTGGTCTGCCTCCATAGCCCTAACCTGTCAAACAAAGACTTACTAGCACATGCAAACACAGCTCATACAGACTTACTGAACCGCAACAGGAAAACAAGGACTGGATAAGACACTAACAGTGCGCTGTTTCACAGACCACCTCATCAAATCGCTGACTGTCTTACTGGCAACTATGCTTTTCTTACTCAGCCTATTTTTGGTGGGCACAGAGGAAAGCCCCTTCTCCAGCAGGGAAGCGCTGCCCATTTTCAACCACTCTGTTCTCCAGCATGTTCCAGCAGTCCATCACGCTCCACAGGAGCCAGCTGCAATGTGACATCTTTACTGGGTTTTCACACGCCCCTCACAAAGCCCGTACTGTACCGAGCGCTCCTATATGGCACGCTCACAATACGGCCAGTGTGCTGGGGCAGCCCTTCACTAACTGTCTCTGCTCCGGTCAGTCGCTGGGCCTGTCACTGCCGGCTCCCGGCTCTCAAGGTTAGAGGGTTTGCTCTCTCATGAAGTAAGTCTTGTCTAAAATGACTACATGACGTGTTGTAAACACAACATGAGAGCCTTTAATAACAGTTCCATTGCTACAGTATTTGCAGTTCTGATGTGAATTAGACGTGCACAGTTGGTCATCCCTTCACACCGTTCACCTGACTGTGTAGCTTCCACAGCCCGGAAAGGTTTTCACAGAGAGTCCTGTGTCATTCTGTTTGTACTCATGTTGGCATGGAACAGAGAACAAGAAGCAACAGGTCATAGCAATGAAGTCAGCTGGAAAAACAGTGTCATTATACTGAGACTCAGGAGACTCTGGTAGCTATCTGAGTTATTTTTCACTAAATCTTTCACTGGAGATCCTCAGAAAAAAGGTAAAATGAAGTCAAGTGATGTCATTAGTGTGACTTTTTTATCAAAATAAGAGATTTTTTGTTACGCTGTAACACCAGTGACACGACTCCTGGTTTCATTATATATTCTATAATATTTATTTGCCATTTGTTTTCTTAATCATTTAATTCATATACTCCATAGTCATGTATAGATTATTGCAGTTAAAATTGCAGAAAAATGTTTTTTTACCTCAAAATATGGCCTCAGCCTTTACACATGACTGTGAGGACGAGCTCTTCTGCGGTGCTTGGAATTCTAGATAATTGATTTAAAAACCAACATTGCTAAATTGAGGGCTACGTAAACAGGTTGCTGATATTACTTTCTCTTAGAATCATAACTAGAGATACACAGAGATATCAGAACCACGCTGGACAGTTTACTTGTGTTATTGTTTAGACTTGGCCAATTTATTTTACTCCAGAAGAGTAGAAAACTTAGGCGATGATGGGCTACTGTGATAAAATGTATGCATTTTATTCATTTTACTGCTTTTGTAACCCTGTAGAAACAATTTTTATCATTTTCGATAGATGTAGTCTCAATTTCTACATTTTATAATGTTTATGTATCTGCAGTGTCGTCATTGGCAGATTTATAATTGAAAAATCAGATCTGCCCACAATTCCCATACCGGCACATCCCTAATCATATTCCCATCTTCTTTCACTTTGGTTCTTTGGCTACTACAGGCTGTGTCACTTCAATCTGGCCAAGTACGAGTTTGCTTTACTCATATATGAGCAGTAAACCCTGTCAGTAAAAAGTAAGTTACAATGTGATCAGCTTTACTTCTTCACAGCGTTACTCGCCTTTGTGAAACAGATTCCATAATGAATATGGGAAAGTCTACAAACTACGCATTAGTATTTCCATCCTATGTAAAGTCGTATTTATGTTACACAGATTCAGGCATTCTGGCAGAGAGAAACACTTTTCAGAGAAATGTCTGTTCAGTGATAAAGTGCCAGTTACTCAGGCTGATAAGTGATGGACTGAACATTCTACAAAGTTGTGCTTCAGAAACCCATGAAAAAAGAGTTTAAACTGGTCAAACCTGGACACAAAGGGTCACTCGGTCATTCTGAAATCCAGTTTGTCGAATAGCTTCAGTCTGGATAGTGTCGCCTCCTCAGCTCCGCTCCGCTCAGCGTTTCATGGTCCGTTCCCGGTCGCAGCCGCGCGGCTGACCGAGCCGAGCCGAGCCGAGCCGAGCCGCGTCTCTGCCCGAGGCTCTTCTCGTTCCCTCGAGGTGCTGGGAAAATGTGAACTCTTGAGAAAAGAACAGTCTGACTTCAAATCTCCACACAAATAACGACGCGGTCGCGCGAAGTCAGACGGAGAGATCCTGCCTCTCACGCGGGGCGAGAAGTGACCCTGAAACTGACAGAGGGATGAAGGGAAGCCGTTAGTCTGAGGAGCATAACGGAGCTCGAGAGCCGCCGAGGGAGACGAGACAATGGGACGGTGGTGGTCGGAGAGGAGGGGCGCCAGGGGGCGTAGAAGAGGACCGGCTGGGAAAATACAGGGTTCAAAATGGTGTCACTCCTTAAAATGAGTGTCTGTCTGAGGTCGACAGCGGTGAAACCTACAGATTCTCAGCTACATGTTCACTTTACAGTTTGGGGGATTTACACTTTGTGAGCATTGACAGTGTTTTCACTTCATTTTGGGCGAAAAAAGCCACGTGTAGGTCCTAAATCTGTGATTGACCCATTACTGTTTAGCAATGATGAGGAGAAAAGCCACAGAACTTGTTCTGATTAGTCCACCTATTTTAAAAAAATCTGTATACTTCAGTCATGCAGTCACATTCAGGGGTTTGATGTGAAGTGATTTATTGTAGAGAACTTAGACTCTGCTTTCTCTACAGAGGTGGTGATAGGAACCAGGGGTCGCCATGACTACAACACAAATGTAGACATTTTATTTACTATCCAGAACCACCAGTGAACCTACACGAGTCTTCTGAGTTTAAATGTAACGTGGAAAAATAGACAAAAAAAAAGTTTTACCTCACAGAGCCCTGCATGCACCCCGCCACCACGAATGGATGCATTTTAAGCCAAAATTTTATCATAAAAATCTATCTGTCATTATCTGTCTGTCTTTATATACAAACAACTATCATAAAACACTGTGTCACACATCAGACAGCGTTTATAACCATACACTAACTTTCTATGAGGAGCTTTCAGAGGCATTAAACTCTTCAGACGTCTGGTTCCTATCACCACCACTGGGAACCATTCCAACTCAAAGTTTCTCTAAAACAGCATTGCACACCAAACCACCCTGAATAACTTTGTTTACATCGCAACTATTTAATTATTTTATTTTATGAAAATCCGTGGTGTTCCTCTTTAGATCAGATTAGATTAGATTAGATTAGATTAGATTCAACTTTATAGTCATTGTGCAGTGAACAAGCACAGAGCCAATGAAATGCGGTTAGCATTTAACCAGAAGTGCAAAATACAGTATTATTTACATATAAGTGCAGGAAGTAGCCGTGGTAAGTGATGCTGTGGTTACAATTTGTACAACTGAGGATGGAATTATCACGGAATTATCACTCTTTAAGTGATAACTTTGTATTATTATCGTAATATGACTAATTACCTATAATTACCTGTTTTTATTACTTATTTATTTATTTTATTACATATAGTTTTCACAGTTTTTTTACCAATCAAATTGGGATTTTCTGTTTTTAGCCATATGGTTCAATCAATTATGAGAAAACAAAAGCAGAAAATAGAAGATTTGTGCTCAGGCAAGCTGAGAAAACATATAGAAAAGCATAAATTTAGATATAGACTTTAATGTGCTGATTTCATTTCTGTTCTGTGTAGCACTGTTGGACTGCTCACTGTTGCTCTCAGCTCTGGTTTTTGTTGACTAAACATTTCAGTTTAGATCAAAAGGAACCCAAAAAGAGAGATACTTCAGTTCCGATGTTGACATAGGTTTTTGACATTCTAAGAAATGACGTGGGGAACTCGGTAGTATCTTATTAGTGTGTACTTTTATTTTATTTATATCTATTTTAAATCATTCCACTGAAGTATTGATGTTATTTAAGAACAATATATCTATTCTTATAAACTACAATGGTCTTCTTGATTATTATCATAAAACAGTCAGGTTTGTGTTTCCTAGGCTCAGCTTAGTTCTGCACCCACCCATATAAAACTCATCGAAAGTTATTTTGAGCGTAAGGCGAGTCTCATTAGCTCTGACAAACTGTCCTGGAATATCTGATCAAAGTCACATTAACTCACATCGTACAATTACTGCACTAAGCTGTCTGAGTGCTCTATATATAGCTTGCCACAGGGTGTTTTTGGAGACATTCCCATTGTATGACAGCCAGCATGGGTTTGTATATGTGTGTGCGCACATGCATCAGTCTGTGTGTGTGTATGTGTGTGTGTGTGTGTGTGTGTGTGCTCTGTAAGGGGCTCGGTGACAGAGGGGATGTTGTCCTTGGGCCCAGGTCCCAGGCAGGCAGAGCAGCGCACAATGGTGCTGGAGTGCACAGGACATCCTGCACTCCATGCACCTCCAGCTTGTTCTGAAAACAGAGCCTTCCGTCACTGCTGTCCTGATTCCTCGTGCTTCAAGCAACAGCCACTCCATCCTGGAGCCCCATCACATGCAGCCACTTACTATGGACTCATTCCCTTATCAACCATTCTTACTCTGAAATAATGGCCTGTCTGTATTACAGACACTGCTGTGTGCATCTCCTAGTCTGAGTGGATGTGTGACTTTTATTTTTTAACATTTTATATAAGACAGAGGTGAGCTGAGTAAACACTAAACACCATTTTTAAATGATTGTTTCATTGATTAAAGGAAAGAAACTTTTACAACTTAAATATCACCCATGTGAAAAAGTAAGCTGGTCGTGCGACGTTTAGCAACAGCGGCAACCAAATGCTTCCTATAACTGTGGATCAGTCCTTCACATCGCTGTGGTGAAAGTTTGGCCCATCGCAGTGAGGTTAAGGGCAGGACTAGACAAGTCAAATGAAATGATCATTTAAAAACTGTGTTTTGTGTTTCTGCGTGTTCTCCTGGTTTTATGTTACATTTCATATGAGGATCTAAAACCATTTAGTGTGACAAATATGCAAAAACAGAATAAATCAGGAAGGAAAGCAAATACATTTTACAGCCTGGATTATAGAGAACACTATTTAATTATGCTTGATTTATCCTTCATTTTCATTCCGTGTTGCTATGGAACTGTTTTTATCATTTCTTCTCATGACCAGCAGTTTTTTAGAAGTTTGTATGTTTCATAGAGGATAGAAGGTTACATGATTTACATTACAATTACATCCATATCCACCACTTCATGTCTTATCAATGGTCTCCTTTGTGCACTGAATGTTGTACACTGCATGTCTCAGCAGTGCACACTGAAACAGTCAGGATTATGGCCTCTTGTGTAAGAAGGTTTGTGTAATGGTCATTATGTGTTATCGCTTTACTTGGGAAATTAGCCTGTTTAGCTGAGCCAGACAGCGGCGTACGCCCTGGGCTGTTGTAACTTTCAGAATTACCCATTTAGCTTATAAGAAATGGTTTGACCAGTCAGGGCTGTCATTTTGTCATCAACTTCACATCTGTCCAAATTAATAGACAGCAAACATTCAAACCTAACATTCAGGTGTCACCTTAAAGTGGCTGATCCAAAATTAAGGCCGCCACACAGCAGGCATGTCACATAGCGTCACATAGCCGATACAGGACAAAGTGCTATACCACATAGAATACACTGCAGTGAGAACACTGAAGCTCATTTTACACTCTTATAAATATGAGGACATGAAAAATGTAACATAATTTATGAGTTTATGAAATGAAAAAGATTATTCAAGCAACATTAGCTAAAGTAGCATTCTATTAGCATCTGTCTGTTTCTAAAGGACTTTGGAGTGACAGACTTTCTCTGCGTAAATGTTAAGCCACGTCGTCTGCTACAGCTTTTTGTTCTTTCTGTGGGTTTAAATAAAGGCAGTAATGGCAAAACGCTGAGTGGTGCACAGAGCAGTTGAGCAGTGCTGGAAGAATGTCGGCACCGGAGCACCTTTCATTAAAAACAATGGTTTCTCATTTTTGGATGCTGTGTAACCCAACATGACGCTTACAGTGTGCAGCCTTTAACCCTTAAATGGCCAGAGCCCACCAGTGGGCATGATACACTTCTGCAACCTAAGAGTAAGTTTGTATCAAAGTCCCTGTAGTTACTGAATAATAATCTTTAGTAAGTACTAAGTCTGGGATATTAATGGGTTAAAGTGTTGAATAAATCAATACGTGCCTTATTTTCTCTTTGTGCCACATAGTTGGGCATTAATTTATTAATTTGCAGGGTTGGAACAAAACCATAACCACTGTTGAATCACTAAAAAACCGAATGTACATAATGAATCATTCCTGTAAATGAGATGTGTGCATGAACCTTTTTGCTATTATGATTTTGTGAAATCAAGCTGTACAAAGCAATGCAGCAAAAAACAATCCTTTTTCCAAAAAAAGCTTAGTCCAAAGTGATGCCATTACAGCCATTTCCATCACCCTTCTTTATCATTACACATGATATTTCACAGTAAGATTCTAAACATTTTTAACCATATTTCATAACATGAAAGTGTCACGTACATCCTTTCCCTACATACCAGTGTATACCTGAGGTTAAACAGTCCCATTAAAATAGGTTTGCTTTACTGTTTGTTGTTGATTCTTAGTGACTTGAGCCGGCACTTCATACAGACACTCTAGCACACACCATAAGACCCCCACCACACAGCTCCAGCATGAGACTGTACAAATGTATCTACAGCGAGGAAGGATCTTATCACCCTGTCATGAATCACTTCACTCTCGGGGCATTTCCGATATCTCCAGAACCCCACCGCGTAATCCAGCCCTGCACACACACAAGCTTCACACAGTCTAGCGTAGGCCGGAAAGTGAGGAACTGCTTGTGTTTTAGCTATAACACCGCCAAGAGCCAAGAGTGTCTTCTGACTGAGAGACTCTTTACAATGTTAAAAAGAGAACAAAGGTTTTGGACACCTGAGAAAATCAGATCAAAATGGCTGTTTGATTTGGCATTAAGTGTTTATTTGCTCTAAAATCCACTAAAATTAGAATAAATACAAATAACATTAATACAGTTAGTAGTTATTTTATGCCTGTCAGTATATTTGTTTACCTATTTCCTCATGGCAGCCCAGGACTATTTGTAATCATCATTCAATACTTCGAATCATTACTTTTTTCAGTTAAATCAGGTGTTCTGGTGATGGAATTTAACAACGCATGCAGTGGTTGGAGTTTTGTGTGTGAGCTGTAACTGCTGTGTACTGAGCTGACATCATAAGACAGACAGTGAGCTTTGTCAGTGTGGTAGTTGGGATGTTTGGCAGTAGGAGTAGCTGGTATTATTAAATAATAGTGTGATTAAATAATAGTGTTCAAGTTTATGTAGACTTTCTTTCATGTGACGCCATTTATGCAGAGTGTTATCTTGCTATTAGCATGGGTGTAGCAATGTTCATATTTCGACTCTTTAACTACCTCATAAAT